GTTTTTCTGTTAGTCATTAATGAGGAGGTTCAAGTACTTATTAAAGAGGTACAGTCTGTGATACGTATGTTTAACACCTTATGGAAAAATGTTAAGCAACATGTTCAACTGGACTATCCTCCATTATCATCAAAGCACCAAATAAGGACATTCTCATGCTGTTGTGATCCACGTGTATATTCTTACAGACTCTACCCCGTCCTCAGCACCTTTATGCTGCGTTTCACTTTCATTTGTCATCAGTTGGTTTATACGCTGTCAGATCTAATGGATTTCTGGCCCATAGTTGTTTGGATATTTCGCCTGGCGTAAGGTGTTGAAACTAGAGACATGAAAGGTGTTTTTATTGCAGATACATTTCCTCAGCTTGCTGAAGCATTAAGTTTGTGTCCTGTCCTTGTCCCTGCATAATCCCCAACTCTAACTCTCAGAATAGAATAGAATAGAATAGAATAGAATAGAATAGAATAGAATAGACCTTTATTGCCATTGTACATGTACAATAAAGTTGTGGCTGCTCCACACTAACTGTGCAGATATAAAATGTAAATAGTAAGATACAAACAAAGTGAAAGCAGATAACACAAGAACAATTTAATTTCAATTTTCAGTTTTATTTATACAGCTTCAAATCACAACAACAGACACCTCAAGGTGCTTTACATTGTAAGGTAGACCCTACAATAATACATACAGAGAAAAAGCCAACAAGCAGGTTGTAAAGTAATTGGAAGTCGTGCAAAAGTAGCGGGCAATAAGTCTGGTTTTTATTAAGTTGTGCTCCCAAATGTTGGATATCAGGGAAAAATGAAAATACTTTGAAATGAAACACATGACAAAACTTTTCACACTCTCTTCTGGCATGTTCAGGTCAGGTGCTGTAAATGTTGTGTGGTTCAGATGTGGTCCATGCTGACATTTGGTGCGTGTACGGCAGACCAGTGGTAAGTTAAGGACACTGGAACTCGTCCTGAGTGAAAGTCATGTGGCTCAAAGGAAACTCCAGTCATGGGTCACATCTGGGCCGAACATTTATTGCTGTTTGGGTAAAAATACCATTAAAATGCACAATCTGGAATAACAAGCTTAAATATTTTTATTAGTGTGAATTCTGATTTTTACTAAAAACACAGTAACTTAGTAAAAAGTACGTGTATCTACTTATAAGCACTGCTGAAAAGATGAGTTAATTTAAATCAAAAGGTAAAATGTTGTTTGCTTTTTATGCCAAACTATCAAAAACTTTACAAACCACTCAGTTAATCTATGGATTTTTTTTAAGTAAAGATAAGCTATTTCTATAAATTTGCTCCATTTAAACTGAAGATTGTCACTAATTTGGGGCTTCACCTGCAGGTATTTCCTTCTAACCTTGTCTTTGTAGCACATTTGGTCAAGAACAGAACCTTAACCTTTTCTCCATCAGTGGGTTTGTTTGCAGACAAAAACATCAGCTGTGAATCAGCCTTAAACACAGAAACAGAGCTGAAGCAGAACTGGACCATCTCCATGTGTTCCTCGAAACGACACCCGATCCCGTTTTCTTCTGTTGCACAGATCCAGAGCTTCACGTCCACATTTCCATTTTAGTACAGACGATGTGAACACTCTGACCCCCCTCGCTGTGTCTCTACAGTCATATTGCAGTAATGTATTATTTCCTGTTAAGTGAAGGTCGTTAAACCAAAAACGGAGTCTCGTGTGTCTCCTTTTTTGTGCAAAGCATGTGTGTTGTCCTTGTTATCGAGTGTTCAGAGTGGGTGAAGGTTTAGCATCTGAGTTTTCAGACATATTTATTTTACTTTATTTTATCCGTAAAGGTTTCTGAATTGCGCCATCTTTAAATGAACATCACGTAATAAAAAGCAGACTATTAGGTCTGGATTTTGTTGTTATTTAGATTTTAATTTACTGAATTTGAATCGAACAGTTTCTCTACAGTCTGTGAAACAAAAGAAGTCATTTCTATTTTCCCTCTTATACAGACTGTAGGTCTGTAATAAAGTGTAATCTTTTTATTACATAAAGCCAATAATCTGTGAGGTGTCAGGCAGAAAGCGACAGCATGTTGTGGTTGCGAGGTGATTTTCTCAGTGAGCGTCACTCTGCAGCCAACAGTGAGGTCTGTGCTGTTTATCTGCTGCTGTCTGGCTGAGAGTTCACATGAATCATCAGCACTGCCAGCCACGATGTCTGACCTGATAACAACTTTGGAGAACATGAAATATTTATTCTCCCCCTCAGACACCATTTTATTATTCCTACAGAAATGATTCATGGGCCACTATTATTGTTATTATTAGAGAGGGTGAAGGGCTCCAAGTAAAGCTGCTGCCCTCGACATTAAGAGGAAGCAGCTGAGCGAGTTCAGGCATCCAACCAGGATTCCTCCCTTATCCCGAGAACACATCAGGACTTCCATAGAAGAGCATGAGAGGGTGGCTGAGGTGACAGAGGGTCAGGCACAAGCTGAGACTACTGCCCCTGTGACCCAGGCTGGGATAGGAGAGTAGATGGATTATCATTCTCATCAGATATTTACAGTGTGATCTTGTTGCAGAGTAAAAACACATTCAGGAAAGAAATATGGTGTGTGAAAGGTGAATATGCACAGTTTGTGAATGTATTTTATGCTCGTGAAAAAATACATTTGAAACTTGAGTTGCCTGCTTTTTACACTGTAAAAACGAATGGTAAGACCACACACCTTTGGAGTGGGAGTTGCAAGTTTGATTCAGAGTATCCAGTCCTGACCAGACCGCCCATGCTAAAAAAACCCAAACCAAGCCCTGGAATGACGGCCACGTCTGCAGCTCGGACACAAGCATTTCACTCATGTTGTACTATATAGATTTGTGTATGTGACAAATAAAGCTGGTTTGTTGTTGTTTGTAAGTACGACTCAATAATTTCATCCTTTGTTGTTTGTTCCAGTTTTTATTATGTGAAAAATCTATTGGACAGACTCATAAACAGAGTCATCGTTTGCCTTCAGCACTGCTGTCACCATCATTAACTGTAAACAGGATATTAGAGCAGTTATCAACCTGCTGCTGCTCTGGAGACCCTCGCTGATTAAACGCTGAGGTGATTACTGGGTTAATTGAACTGGGAAATGTGGTTTGCATGTGTGTGTTATGGTATGTAGCGTTGAGCATTTCTGTAGAAAGGATCCAGCAGCAGATCAATGCAGAGAAAAGCAACAGAGAAATTACATAAGACTTGACAACACTTAAAGTTTCATGTGCAAAATATTCTAAAGATGTGCACCACAGCGTGAAGAGTGAACGATTATAAACCTTGACTTCTTGATCCTTTTTACGTCATCATCGTTTATTTATATAGCACTTTAAAAAACACACCTGGTAGACCAAGTGTTGAACAATACATCTATAAATAGTAATAATATAAGAACTGAACAAAACAATTAAATCAATAAAGAGTTACAAGCCAGAGAATAAAAATAGGTTTTTAATCTGGACTTAAAAACCGGCACTGATGTAGTCTGTCTAATATGAAGAGGAAGATTGTTCCAAAGCAACGGGGCCACAGCAGAGAACGCCGGTCTAATCTGAGTCTCAGCCGTGACTTAGGGACTGAAAGCAGCAGTTGCTCAGCTGACTGGACGGAACGAGTTGGAACGTAAGGCTTCAACAAATCGGACAAATAAACAGGTGCCAAAGCATTTAAAGATTTAAAAACCAATAAAAGAACTTTAAAATGGATCCTAAATTTGATTCGAAGCCAATGTAGAAAGGCCAAAACCGGAGTGATGCGGTCAAATTTCATTTTTGCACTAATTGTAAGCGTGACAAAGTGCCCAGCCCCTATTAAAAGGGAATTACAGTAATCCAGGAGTGAAGTAATAAAAGCATGAATTACAGCTTCTAAGTTACGTTTGGAGAGAAAGGGCTTGATCTTCGATAGACATCTGAGGTGGTAGAATGCTGATTTTACCGCCCCATTCACGTGGCCATCAAGAATCAATTTTTACTCCAAGATTTGTGATTGAATTCTTCAAATGAGAGATCAAAACAGTGAGATCAACATCTGGAGGGTCAGGAAATGGATTTGGGCCAAATTGGACTCTCCACCATTTGACCTTAGAACTGAAGAAGCTTCTCGGATGAGAGGTGAAACGTCTTCAAGCAACTTAAAGTCCAGACGCTTTTCTTTGCAAGCTCCTTTGACTACGATGACCTGGATGACTGAGAACCTTCACAGACATTTGGGCCAAATAAAATCACTTCCGTTTTTCTTTTCTGTTTACATCAGCACAGGATTCACTTCAGCTGATTAGAATGTGGTCACATCGTTCCTAAAGCCTGGACAGGCAGACCTTTAACTAACAAATTGACATGATGCGCCGTCTTTTTAATAAATCCAGGAAAGCAGCTTCTTCTCCTTTAAACAAAAATATCAAATACATTGATCACCGTCATTTAAAAAGCGTATATACGCTTCACACTCCATTAGCCTGAAGTATTTGGTCCTTGAAAGTGATCACATTAACCAGTACCAGGTACCAGTAGTTTTTATGGAAGAACTTGCCTGCAAACATTCAGCAGCTGTGAAAAGTGAAAGAGAGAACATCTGTCTTCAGAGTAAAAGTGTGTCTCATGTTCTGAAACATGTTGGCTGCAAAGGTGAGGCACAACTTTTACTCTGAGGGCAAATGTTCTGTGTTTATATCTGATGTCACACTATAGCTTTTGCTAGCACCTAGCTAATAATTAGGCACATCTCAGCATCTTCCATGCAAACTATGGATAATTGCATTGACCTGCTAGAACCAATGCTATTGCAAGGAAGGTTTTGGTGCAGCACCCTCTTTGTGGCCAGTTTCACTGAGCGACTGCCACAGCAGGTAGAGGTGGGTTGCAAAGCAGCCTGTAAATGCACAACAGTTGTGCATCAGTTGATCTGTTGCAATTGCAGGTAATGACTTTGAGGTCTGCCTGACCCGGCACTATGCTTGTCATCTGTTTTCTGATCCTCAGTTTGCCGGGCTGCTCATGGGCGCTTCGCTCAGAAGCTGATGAAAGACTTATTTACCAACTACACCAATGCTCTGCGGCCGGTGGAGGACACCGACTACATCATCAATGTCACATTACAGGTCACTCTCTCCCAGATCATTGACATGGTAATCAAACCCTGAATGCCTATCCAGCTCTTTATGCTGTATCTAGTCAGGCAGGTACTGGTGTGACCTTGCCATTTTCATGGATTTTCACCAGGATGAGCGGAACCAGATCCTGACTACCTACCTGTGGGTCCGCCAGGTATGGATGGATGCCTTTCTCACATGGAAGAAGGAGGACTATGATGGCCTTGACACCATCCGCATACCCAGCAGCTACGTTTGGAGACCCGATATTGTTCTGTATAACAGGTAGGTGTATCATCCTGCTGGCTGATCTTCAGGATATTTATTGATGTTTTCAAACTCCTTCCTCGTTTCTATCATAGTGCAGATGATGAGTTTTCCAGCTCCATGGAGACCAATGTTGTTCTTCGTAACGATGGCCAAGTCATGTGGGACCAGCCAGCCATCACCAAAAGCTCCTGCTCTGTTGATGTGGCCTTCTTCCCCTTCGATTTGCAGCAGTGTGACCTAACCTTTGGCTCCTGGACTCACAACGGAAACCAGATGGATTTGTTCAATGCCCTGGACAGCGCCGACTTGACCGACTTTGTCCCCAATGTGGAGTGGGAGGTCAGTAATGGTGTCATGTGTTTAGCACATCCTTAATGAATGTTTTGACGAACCCAAAATTTTCTCTAACCAGGTTCTGGGAATGCCAGCCAAGAAAAATGTCATCTTGTATGGCTGCTGCTCAGAGCCATACCCAGACATTACCTTTTCCCTCCACCTGAAGAGGCGGGCCTCCTTCTACATCTTCAACCTCCTCATTCCCTGCATGATGATCTCCTTTCTGGCTCCGCTGGGCTTTTACCTGCCAGCGGATTCAGGTGAAAAGGTTTCTCTGGGTGTCACAGTGCTGCTGGCCCTCACCGTGTTTCAGCTGCTCGTAGCTGAGAGCATGCCACCCTCTGAGAGCGTCCCGCTGATAGGTGAGAACAGCCTCTGACTTTTATTTACATCTATGTATTTAAAAAAAACATTCATGATGAATCAGAATTATTGTAATGTTTATATTCATCATCCCTCCTGCAAATGTTACATGGCTACACTGTATCTGACAAGTTACTAATATTTGAGGGTGCCTTAGGATACCTCAGACAGACACATTTCAGCCTTAGGGATGTCCCTAGAGTGTATCCTCGGAGTAATCCAAAGAGATTTTCCTGTTATGCCAATGTGTTAGGCAAGCAGAGCTTCACTGCAGAAAGAGTGCAGAGGCTAAGCCTATGTTTGAAGCCACTTAGGTGTTTGATGGGCGGGGTTGACATGATGTCACTAATATGACTGAAAACTTGTGGTATGGAGAAACTCCAATAGCTCCAGCGTTGTTTAGATTAAGCATTTATTGCTCATCATTGATTGAACTTGCTGTTCCACAGTTCATCTTAATATCCAAAATAAATCCCAGCAGTCACAAACTGTTTGGTCCCTTCAACCAATTAAACCTGACCCTAATTAAATGTTCCTACCTTAAATCCAATCATTTACAAACACAAAAAGTGAAAACTAGTCCCACACATAAGATAATACACAAAACATGAAAATGGCTCCTACAATGAGGTTCAGGTTAAAGGGAAGACTAAATGGGATTTAGGAGTCACCAAAGAGTCAATCAACAGGAAACGGAAAATCACTCTGAGGTCTACGAATGGTTACTGGACATCTCTCTGAGGGATGTTCTTGCTTACCGTCGCGCTGATCTCTGTCTAAAATCGAAGCTGGAGAAGGTGGGGCTGTTTTTAGATTACGTGAAAGATGTAATCTTTTGTATTAAATCTATTAGCAGAAAATACTGGTGATTGCCCAACAACACCTGATGCTGACCAGTTTATAAAGTCTAATTTACACTGTTGTGTTCATTGATTGTTTACAGTCAGATATGACCTTCACTGACTTCAGAAGTCTTTTGTAGATGCCTTTAAAGTATGTAATTTGGATAAAAGTAGCACATCTCAGTGATTGCTGGGGCACAGTTGTTGTCGAGGGATTTGAGGACCTTTTAAAACCTCCAGCTTGCAGCTCTCATTGAGTCACTGAGCCTTGGCATCAATGACAAGAGGACCACTGACAGAGAGGATTCAGATACAGACCCAATCAAAATGATAGGTGGAGCTTGGATGGAGGTGGGTTGCAAAGCAGCTTGGACCTTACTCTAACTGTGATTTTCAGCTTTCAATTTTCAGAGACTTTCAATGCAGCAATGCAGCAACTACCCAAGTGCCTCTGCAGTAAATAAAGAAGTATAAGAGGAATGTTTGCTCGTCTGCTGCTGTCTGTTGTCACACCCACTTTAGACTTCACAGGGTTAATCAGAGTGTCCTATATTCACCAGCTGTATGCTTTTACTGCAACTAAGACTAAAGCTTGATTTGGAGTTATAGGGACAGCAAATAAGGGTCACCAACCTCTACCTGATTTTTCGGTGTCTTGTTTCTATAGGAAAGTACTACATTGCCACCATGACCATGGTCACTGCATCAACAGCGCTCACCATCTTCATCATGAACATCCACCACTGTGGCGGGGAGGCTCGTCCCGTGCCTGAATGGGCCGAGCGCTTCATCCTCAAGTACCTCGCCCGCATCTGCTTTGTGTACGAGGTGGGTGAGAACTGCCTCGGTGGCACCAGGAAAGAACCTTTATCACAGGAGGGGTCTGACAGCCCATCAGCCAATGGCGGCAGCACCAAAGGAGCAAATTGGGATGTCAATGGGAAGGCGTGGGGAGGAAAGGTGGAGGTGGAGCCTCTGAAGATGGGGCAGGAAGTAACCAACCAGACAGACTGGAAAGAGGATCTGTTTGTGACCATTGACCACTCACAGGAGAAAGGAGCTGCTGTAGTGGGAGGGGAGGAATCAAACTGCGGTGAGCACGAAGAGGAAAAGAAAGGCGTAGGTGTTGAGGGAGGAGGTGGAGCTGGGTGGAACAGGAGGGAGATCTTGGTGAAGTGTTTATGCCAACACCAGGAACTGGGCAAGAATGTTGAGTACATTGCCAACTCCTACCAGGACCAGCGAGCAGCACAGCTGCGCATCGGCGAGTGGAGGAAGGTCGCCAAGGTCATGGATCGCTTCTTCATGTGGCTCTTCTTCATCATGGTCTTCTTCATGAGCATCCTCATCCTGGGAAAGTCCGTCTGATGGAGCTCAGCCTAAGAATTCACGAGATGATAAAATTGTTTGTTTAACGATTAAATCATTTTTTCTTCCTTTTTTTTCTGACACACGTAAACAGCTAAAAAATAACTGAATGATGGTTTAAAGGGTCAGTTTACTGTTTTGTAAGCTGGTACCTGGTAGCTTTCCTCAAAATCATTTCCACCAGAATTTAAAATGCTTATCTTTGGATTTGAAAGGGACTCTGAAGGCTGATGAAAGTAAAATGATTGGGAAAAAAATAGTTTCTAATTATTTACAAAGATCCTAACAAATGCTGGAGAAGCTAAACACCTCTCTGTTGGACACAGCATGAAGGGAGAATCAAGGGTGGGTTGCAAAGTGGTTTGCATGATGCAGCAACTGTGGACAGCCTAAATGAAATTTACCAGTTAGATGTGTAGATGGGTGTCTGCAGAGCCGTTAGTTGAGAAGGATGAATGAAATGAAATGAGTAGAGCTCTAAGCGTTAATCTCAGCGTTAAAATGATGTTAACGCCATGACCGCATTAACGTGGCAAGTATGGTTAGCAAATTATCACGGATCGCCCCGTGCGTGGGGCTGGATAGCGCTAACGCATTAACGAACTAACCACGCTAATGTGTGGACGCGGTCCAGCCCCACGCTCGGGGTGATCCGTGATAATTTGCTAACGGAAATTTGCCGCGTTAATGCGGTTATAGCGTTAACGTCATTTTAATGAGATTAACGCTGACAAGATTAGAAATAAGTGATCTGCTGTTTTTCTTAATTTAAGTTGTATCGTGCTCATATCTTCAGATCACAGATGTTTTGCGACTGTTTGCATTTGCATTCCAGCACTGAATTGGTCACTCTAGATTTCAGCATTCAGGCATTTATGAACCAATTCATCATGCCTTAATACTTTTCATTGAGCTATCTGACTCTCAGAACAGCATCCCCACCACCTTTGTTCCTTAGGATAAGTTGGTATCGGCGCTTTGATGCAGCTGATCTCGACTTTGTAGCCTTGATGAAGTAATAATAGGTTCAATTTGTCCTTTCTTGTCCCACATTATTCATATTTAACACACTTTAATCTGAATCAATTCTGTCTGGCAAATACAGACTTTTTATACTCTAGACATGGTAATGCTGCTTCTGTGATTACGATCTGAACTACAAACTGTTTTCTTGCAAATAATCATAATCTAGAAACAAAAAGGAAAAAAGGGAAATCTCATAAGAGTCAAATCTGGTTTTTCCCTCCAAAAATGCTTTCTGGTACATTTTGCTACTGAAGAAAAAAAACAAAAACAAACTTTAAATGGTTGATAAAACATTTTCAGGCTCAATCTTAAACAAACTAAAATTCACTCACAAGTTGTGGTCATTTAAGTTTCTAAGAAAGCTCAAATAAACTGTAGTTCCAGGAGAAAAAAACCCTGCAATTATATGTAGTTTACTTTTATTTTAAATCCAAACACACCTCACACTTTTACTGCTTTTAAAGTCAAAACCAGTGACACAGAAAATCACTTCCAAATATTTGCAGTGATCAAAAGCTAAACAGCTCTGCACAAAGCCTCATATCAGAGTTTGAAAGCCTTACTTTACACGTCTGGATGTTTTTTTTATTGACGCTGTTTGCAAAATAATCGGTTTCATCACATCACACAGATTCTTTGTTCAGCATTTTGTCTTTTACTACAGCATGTTAAATAAAAAGAGTAAAGTCTCATATGATCGTTTGTTTAATCACGTGGGTTTGTGGAATCGCACAAAAGTTTACAACAACTGAGCAAAACATTTGAGAGCAAACAAACAGAGACATCAGAGAGGACGGGTTCATGATGCTAGAAAGCTAGCTCAGACGGGAATGACTGCTTGTCCCAAATGTGCCTCACATCTGCAGTTTTCTTTGGCTGTCTGGATAGTTAGCCGACTGTATCCACAGACTCTATTGGTGCAGCTTTGTAGACACAGATCCGGCTAATTAGTTAATAACTGATGAGTAAAGCCCTAAAATTCCACTCACCAAACTGGAGCTCGGGTATGTTAGATCAGCAGTCTCCAACCTTTTCTGCGCCACGGACCGGTTTATGCCCGACAATATTTTCACGGACCGGCCTTTAAGGTGTCGCAGATAAATACAACAAAATAAAACTAGTACTGGTACCGAAAAAAAGAAGATTTATTCATAACACACGTGAAAAGACCCAGGAAAACAGAGTTAACGATCAAAACAATAACAAAATAACGCTGAAAACCGATAAAAACCCTGAAAACCAGACATTTCACACCTGAGCCTCAACTCTCGCCGCCCGGTACCAAACGACTCACGGACCTGTACCGGTCCGAGGCCCGGGGGTTGGGGACCGCTGTGTTAGATGATCTGTTTGTACATTTAACTGCACAGCAGTCATATTAGTGGCTAAATAAATACTCCAACAGCACAAACACGGTCCAGAGGTCCATTTCAGGGACTCCAATCAGCTGTGGTGAAATAGCCGAGGTGATTCACAGCTGTCAGTCAAAGACACCAAAGATAAGTCACATCCAGCACAGTTATCATGAGGATGCAAAACAGCTGCAGGGATAGAGTGGATATCAGAGGAACTGCAGCTCTGGCTTCATCTTTCTGTTTTGCAGGTGTAACCTTGGCTCACATACAGTCTGCAGTAAACTGTCTCATGTGTGTTTCCCTTACAATGTTCGCCAGGTTGTTTTTTTGTTCTGGTTTGGTGTCTTTTTGTAATCCAATGCATGTGATTTAGCACGTCTGCACAATGAAACACTGAGTGTTATAATCCTGAGTGTGTGATGATCCTAACCTCACAGAGGCACAGAGTTTATCGAAGGTTCACTTGAAGAAAACAGAATTTTCTGTTTTTTGGTTTGGTCTCTATAAATGCAGCTTCAGGGTTTGTTTATGTTACCAGGATGGAGTAAAAATGCATCAACTTTTGTTTGTTTTTAAAAAAGAAGCTGCTTTACAGACTCATAGAGCATTAACGTCTCTGTGAACTAGTTTGTCCTCTGAAGGCCAGAGACAGGCTTTTGCTTTATTATGAAAGGAATAAAAAGGCAAATTTATGAGACTAACTATATAAGACTAAAGATAAAAAAATCACTGTAATTTTATATGCATGAAACCAAGAAAAATGTTACTCTGCTTATTTCTTTGCTGTGTTTGAAACATCCAGTGTCAGCACAACAACTGTTAAATTTATCTGCCCCGTGTTTTTGGTTTGTGAGCTGTTCACACGGGACACTCTGTTAATGCCGTGAAAGTTCTTATTAAAACTGTTTTGTTCACAGAGGTTTGTTGGGACTTTTCTGACATGATGTGTGTGTGGCATTGTGGGTCTGTGGGGTTTGCTCTCCGTGTGTGTGGGGGTACTTTCTGATTCTAGATCACACTTAGGTGTGAAGGTGAGTGAATGGTTGTCTGTCTCTCTTTGGCCCTGGTTGGCGAGGTTTCCAGGGTGTAACCCACCTCTCGCTGTATGGTTGCTGGGAGGGGGATAGACCACGGCCCCCTCTGGACCCTGAAATGGAAAAGGCAAAAGAGCTTTTACTTTAGAGTATATTTTAAGGAGTCTAACAAACACTTATTATTGTTTTAACCAGAAGAAACATGAGATTGGTTTGAGAAGAGGTGAGTAGAAGGACGTGTCAGGTTTACTTTTATTTCTTGATATTGCAGTTTGGCTTCTCTGCAGAAGAGGGCAGTGCAGCTGCATCTTTGGACGGTTGCTCTACATAGATAACCCGCACTCAGAAAGGTCATGTCAGTCTTGAGATGGGAGGAGCAAATAAAGCACAAAACTACACAAGCTAAACCCAAGGACAGCAGGTGATTTTAAATATATGTTTCCTTAAAACTTGTGGATAATTTTCATGTATAAAAACATCCCACACTGTCCTAAAGCTCTGAAGTCTGACTCATTTAACTGATTCCTAAGATCTAAACATTGTATGATAGATGCTGCAGGTTTTGATGCAGCATCATCAGACTGAACAAACCTCTGGGAAATGTTTGATCCTGTAGTTATAAAAATACATGTCAGCTTTCTTCTGCTTTCCCTTTAAAATGGAAACAGTGAGAGAAGACGGTGCAAAACCAGCACATTGCTTTATTATTAAAGTGCACGACACAAATTGTTCTGCAAATATGTCAACTTACAACGATGCACAAAATTAAACAAACAGCGAATCCAATGAATGGATTGTCAATGCCTGGGTACTCTCCCTTTAAAAGAGCCAAGAGCCTTCCTTTCCACTTCCTCCATGTAAAGGTTGGCTACAATAGGTGACACGGGGGAGCCCATGGCACAGCCATGTTTTTGTCTGTAGAAACC